CGAAGTAAGTTAGACGGAGCCTCAGAATCCTTGCCTCCAAGGAGCCACCCGGTTTAACCCTCTCCAGGACAAATCTATTTGTTTTCCTAGCAGTCCATGGCTTAAACATAGGGTTGCAAAATCTGATAGGTGGAGGGAGAAATTGGTAAAGGAAAGGGGAAAGGTCCAGTGTAAAAAACAATGTGTATGAAATTTATGAACTTTGTTTATAAACCAGTATAAAATAAAATTTTAAAAAGAGATGCAAATAAAAACCACAATGAGATACTACCATCTTACCCCAGTAGCAATGGCAAACTTTACCAAGACAGAAGCAACAAATTAGGAAAGAATATGAAAAGATTAGCACTCTCATACACTGGTGGTGGTTACAATCATTTCGGAAGGCAATTTGGCATTTACTTCAAAAGGCTGAACATAGAAATTCCATATTTCTGTGCTAGATATTTTACTGCTAGGAATATATCCTGAGGAAAACAGAACTGAGACACAAGTAGAAATTTGTACATTGATGTTCATAGCAGTGTTATTCACAATAGCAAGAACATGGAAACAGTCCAAATGTCCATTAACACATGACTGGATTGAGAAATTGAAGTACATTAACACTATGGAATACTGTGCAGCATTCATTAACAACAATATTTAAAAAACATGTGAGAAAGTAGAAACCATTAAGCTAAGTGAACTAACTCAGTCTCATAAGGAAAAATACTGCATTCAACCATTATTGTAAAAACAGAAGGGTAACTAGTAAGATGTGTATAGCTATAGAAAGAGGGAAAGGGAGGGGCCAGGGAGCTGAGGTAGGAGTGGGGAGGAAACCACGGGGTCACAGTGTTAGCTGGGTTGACAGAATGGGTGAAGGAAGTAGGAAAGATGCAGTGAGGATCCAAAAACACAGTGTAATAGTGGGCATAGATCAATAGTGATCTATTTTATAAGACACAATGTATGGGCATGATCATAAGAAACATAGTGTGAATAAAAAAAACACACCCCAAAATAATTTTTTAAAATAACTA